TGCTGCCCGCTCCGGTCTGCAGCACCCCCTTGTTGGCCTGCTCTAGCAGGGCGATATGCTTCGCCTGCCTCTCGTGCTGCGAGGTCTCCCCCCCCGCGGGGGCAGGCGGACGGGTAGCGACACCTGTTGGGCCCGCCAACGCGCCGCGGCGAAACACACACACACACACACACACACCTAAATAAAGAAGCCCGGTGGTCGCATCACGTCGAGCGCCGGCATAGCACTGCACGTGTGTGTGTATGTGTGTGTGTGTGTATTGGTGTGTGTGTGTGTGTGTGTGTGTGTCGCCATGTTTACGACCGCGGAAAGTGTCGCACAAAGAAAGAAACCGGAAAGACGCCTCGCCCCGACCCAGAGGATCCGCTTGCCCAGGTTATACGCCATGATGTGCTGAAACATGTGCAAAAATGTTGCAATACTCCTTCGACCTTATCTAGCTAGAGCTTACGATCACTGACAACCGACGGTCATTCGAAACCTTTTCCCTTCCGCACTATATCACGAAATATATTGTTACTTGTCATATTTCTCTGTAAGTATATAATCTCATCTCTGCGTTACAAAGCCAGTGTAGCAGTAACTTTCGGTGTACAGGCTTTACATTCGTTACGCAATAGTCGGGTGCAATGAAAACACCCCCTGCCGCCCAACCCCGCCGGGCCGCGACGCCGCCCCGCACCCACCCGTCCCCTTCGTCGCCAAGAAGTTGTTTGAGGGAGGTTATGTCTGGCTATGAGAGCGTCGTGCCGGGGGAGAATGTCCCATCGCGCAGCGACGGGGCGGGGCGGGGGCGCCCCCTACCCCCCCGCCCCGCCCCGCCCCGCAACCCGTTTCGCTATTAGCCCCCCAGATAGTGCCGCCGCCGCCGCTGCCAGCGCTGCCACCCCTTCCGGGCGAGGGTTCGTCGCTCGCGCTCCGCATGCACAACAACAAGTAGTAACGCCTTGCAAAGCGTCTGGGGAGCGACTCGCACGCGCACGGAATACATGCGCTCGCCCGCACGCACGCTCGCCCGCACGCTCGCACGCACGCTCGCACGCACGCTCGCACGCACGCTCGCACGCACGCTGGCCGGGCCATGCCTCGCCTCGTCCCGGCGAGCTATTCCCGGCCGGATGTGCGTGCCAAAGCCAAACTAACCCTGACCTCCCTGATGGACCCGTCCGCCTCCGACACCCTCGTCCCCACCGCCCACGAGCTGCCAGCTAGCAGCACTGTACAACAGCAGGTCCGGAGTAGTCACAATCACGATATCACTAACGTCATAGAGACGTCATTATACGAAAATTGATGACAATTTTACTACCAGATTAATATATGATTTTTAAAAAAAATAATGTTATCTATTTTCAAGTTTCGAACCAGAGATTTTGTCAAACGAACGGTGAGGCCGGGCACGGTCGTCACGGTCATAGTGACAATAATAACTTCGTGCGACTTCAAGAACTGCTACGCAAAATGTTCGGCACGTCCGTCTGGGGCTGCGGCGATAGAGGAATAAGGGAAGTACAGTACAGTTCTTCCTGCCTGCGCTGTGGGGCTCTTTCCATCCGACACAACAAGGAGCCAGCTCTCTCTCTCTCTCTCTGTCTCTCTGTCTCTCTCTCTCTCTCCCCCTCTCGCTAGCACAACAGGGCCGCGACGGTCACGCCGCAAGCCGGGTCTTTGTGATAGGGGCGCGCGCGCGTCTGGCTATACAACGGGGCGAAACAAGTGCGGCGGGAGGGCCTCGGGGAGGAGGGTGGAGGGTCGTCGTGGAGGGTGCGGGTGGCTCGCGGGCCCGACCCCTCGCCGCCCACCTGGATCAGCCTCAGAGGCAATGAGAAAAACTGTCGGGCGACTGGAGCGGCGCGGGAGTTTTGCACCACCGGAGCCCGCCCCGTTGTCTAAGGAGCGGCAGCCCCTGCTCCGGTAGAAGTAGTTGTAGTTGTTGTTATTGTTATCCGCGCGACAGACAAAGGCATACGGCCGCCCGTCCTGCTTGTGAATCGTGGGCACGAAGCGACTCACTAGCTTCTCCCTCTCTCTCTCTGCCGTCTCTGTCTCTCTTTTCCCCTCTCATTCGCTCTGTCTCTCTCTGTCTCTCTGTCTCTCTCTGTCTCTCTCTGTCTCTCTGTCTCTCTCTGTCTCTCTGTCTCTCTGTCTCTCTCTGTCTCTCTCTCTCTCTCCCTCTATCCCACACATTCACTTTCCCTCTTACGCACACTCTCTCCGCCCCGAGGAGTAAGCCGGCTTTCGATTTTCCTGGCTTTAGCGCGCGGGTTGTGGCTGTCTCGTGAATAGGCGTGACAGCGCCCGCCGTCCCAAAACTCGAGCGAGTGCGAGGTGCAGGCGGGGCGGGGCGCGGCTCGGGGATTTGAGGGCGTCGAGGACGCCCACGGCGCACGCCCCAAGGGCTCCGTACCCCGAGAGGCCGACGCCGACGCCCCAGGCGCCTCACGCAGTACCGGGGAGTGGTAGATAGCAGAGGCGCAACCCAGTTGAGTGCTTATTAAGCGCGAGTGCTCATACTATCTGTTTGACATTTCTTTTCCGTTAAGAATGGAGTGAAATTTGGAAAGCTAACCGTAATAAGCGTTTCACGAGAGCCCTCTGCTGCTCTCGCCTACCCCTGTCGAACGCACCGGGCAGAAACATCGTTGATTAGATTTTTGTCTGTAAACTCATGCGGGTTGTTTCTTCAACACACAAAAAATAAAAAATAAAAAATGGGCGATCAATCAAAGCAGATAGTGAGGTAGTCCGTCTCGTGAGGCCGAGGGGGCCGTGACGTCCGGGTGGGCATCCTGGCCCATGTGTTGTTCTTATTCTCCTTGATTTTTCCTCCATTTTTTAAATATTCTTTTCCTGTTTTTTGTTTCCTCTGATGTATTCCTAGTTGTATTTTGGAGGGTGCAAACTGATTTGTTTTGAATAAAGCGTCCTTCGGTGCTGCCCGCTCCGGTCTGCAGCACCCCCTTGTTGGCCTGCTCTAGCAGGGCGATATGCTTCGCCTGCCTCTCGTGCTGCGAGGTCTCCCCCCCC